AAAATTCTCAAGAATAAAGAAAAGAAATGTAAAGATCATTAAAATGAATTTTAACAAAATTAAAAGTAATAACAAAAAAAGATGAAAAGTATATGAATCAACTGAAAATAAAAGAAATGAAGTACATTCAAACTGGAAAAAATGGAGTAAACGGTCTCTGGTTACATAATCACTTGATCTCCCGAAAAACCTAAAAACACAACCAACATCTTATCTGAAACAATTATCACATATAAAAATGTTGCCAGAGAGCATGGTTAACACAGAGGAATCATTTCCTCCATGCTTCCAAGCGAAGCCCTTCATGGTCGAGCAGGACATTTAACTTATCTTCACATAGGCAGAACTGGTAAAAGAAAGGAGCCAGGGGCTCCTCCCAAGCCCTTGTGACCCCTGAGGAACAGATCTTCAAACAACCTTAAGAGTAAAAATAAATCTGTTTATCTGGACCAACTGTATGGCCTTAAATACCCAAAAGGAAAGTATAGCCAAAGATTAAAGGGGCCAATGAAATTTCATAAGAGTCCATATGTATAGCTACATAACAAGCAACAATGCCAGACAGGCAATACCTTTTTTGAGTTGTTGGTCAGGGTGGCCAAAGGGATTCCCAGATAGTAACCTAGCATAGAACTGGGAAAATGAATAGCAGACCCCAATCTTATCCAAAGGAATATTGACAACCAATTACCACTAGATGAGGAACAGCTGACCCTCCTGAAACAAAGGCCTCTAGGTAGGCTGACTAGATTCACCAGAAGGGCAAGTAGTTTGGGATTGCTGGGGCTGCCGACAAGATAGCAGACTGTAGCAAGGATATCAGGGTATAAGGGCTCTAGTGGGGGGAGGAAGGCTATAGGAGGGTTCTATCTGGGAAGTGGGTATAAAAATAAATTAATTTAAAAAAATATTGCTGGGTGCAAAATCAAAATATAAGCTCAGTTTAGTGACTGTGTACTAGTAAATGACCTACTTAAATAGAAATTCAGGTTGTAATCTATTTTAGAACAGGTATCACAAAATAAAACACCTAGAAAGGAACTTAACCAAACAAGAATAGGTCTTAAACAGTGCAAATTATCAAACACAGATGAAAGTAATTAAAATCCTCAAGCTTGAAAGGTAAGACTTCTCTGACACTTGTTTGGGAGTATGTATACTGAAAAATATCTGAACTGCCACAAGTGATATAAATATATATTTAATTCAATCACTGTCAAAACACTAATCCAGTAAAATTCTTCAAAGCACTGAGGAACAGATCCTAAAATTTGCAAAAGCATAAAAAAAATCTTGAACCTCCAATGAAAATTAAAGGATGAGGAGAATGTGAGGAGGCATTGCAAAGACAAAGCACTGCATTCTTCACATAAAATTAGACACAGGATCCAAAAATCAAAACACTGTGCTTTTCATGACAATCGACTCCTTTACCTTGTAATAACCATATTTTATGTATACATAACTTACACGAATAAAATACTTTTTATTCATTTATGATCCCGATATTAATCAACATAGGATATATTTACTTATGTCCATATTTGTTTTTCTCACTTTTTTATTGAGATTTTTAAATTTCATATACATTTCCCACTTAAATTCAGGCCCACTCCCCAGTCCTAACCTATGCACTACCCTCAACAGAACCTTATGCACTCTGTCATACATGATGACTCCTATTCATTCAGTTGTTTGTACCCAAGTGTCCTTCAGTGTAAATGCATCCACTGGAGTCTAATCAGCCCATCCAGTGGTCATATGTAACTCATACTCTCTCTCACACAGCAGCAATCAGTCTCAAACAGTTCTCTGTTTAGTGCTGGCCTGTCACATATTTTTCACTTCCCCTTTGAGCCCTTGTTTAATTCAGCTGACCTGGGTCCCTCGTTCAAGCCACCACTGCCACAGGCCGCCATGAGCAAGCATCCAGTGACCTGGAGGCCTCCACCTCCCTCTGTTCATGAACAAGCTCTGGCTCTTAAAATCTTTCTGCCTCCTCTTCCTCGATGGCGCCCGAGCCATGGGTGGGTGAGGTTCCATGTAGGAATCCCATCCTACACTCTACAGTCTCTTATTCTCCAAAACTTGGACAGTTGAGGCCTTCTGTGTGCATCACACTCTGATGTATATGGAAGCCTCACTGGTGAGAGTTGAGGGGTTCATTAACCCTCCCTCCACCCCTTATTTCCTTATGTTCTATGAGACTTTGTTCTAGAGATTCAACTGCAGAGTGTCACCTAGTACTGGGCATCTCCCAGATGTATGTTCTCTGTGCCTAACCAGATGTACAACTCTGCAGTAGCCTCCATTTGATGCAAAAAAGAAGCTTCTTTGATGAGTGCTGTATAGCATACTTGTGACTATAAGGGAAATCTCTTCTATCTGCCACTGCATTCCCTGCCAAACTTCTCTCAGGTATACATATGCATTAATGTTCATGTAGGGTTTCTAGGGTATCACATTTCCCTCTAGATTTCCTGCCCTCTCCCACCCTCTGGAGAGTCACTCCTCTCCACTCTTTTTTCTCTTATCTGGCTTCCTACTCCCACTCTCCCTAGTCACAGTGCCTTCATTATCCCCACCCTCCCCTCAATACCTCCTGACTCCTGCCATCTTTCATCTTCTGATTTTTTTCCCTCCCCTACACCATGCTCCCTTTCATGTTCCTCCCTCCTCTCCTCCCTGATGGTTACTCCCACTTTTTCTTTAAGTTTTAATAAATTTCTATCATATCTGCTATGGATTATTAAGGAGTAGCTAAACATCATATAAGATATTTACTCTTTCTGCTTGAAAATACTTCAAGTTGTACATGGGATGGCTGGCTACACTGTGAAAGACAGACTAATGAACTTACACTTCCTTTATTTGGAATTAATATATAGTTTAAGTAGCTATATAGAGTGCCAAGTTAGTACAATTTGGAATTGTAAAGCCTCATTTTGTGTATCATCTTGACTGTCCTAAAGGATGCTCCCTTAGTGAATAGGTGTTAATATTGGGTACATTCAAACTGGACTTTGCTAGAAGATGTTACCATTTGCATAGATAGATTGAAGAAGATAGATGTTTTCAACAGGATCCAGCAGCACTTCAATTGACTGGATAAAATAATTAAAGGAAGGAAACATTTGGTCTCTGCTTTAAATGGGACATATTGACCTGCCATCAGACTTTGGCCCCCACGGTTGTAAGGCATTTACTCTAAGACTGGAAGCATCAACAGAGATGTTCCTGTTTCCTAAGAGCTCAGGATTGGAGTGAAGCTGACACAGAGTTTACATGGCTTTCCCATAGGGACTTCTCAGCTTCTCTAATTACATAAGCTGTTTTCTCATATACACACACAGACACACACAAACACACACAGACAGAGACAGAGAGAGACAGAGAGAAAGAGAGAGGCAGAGAGAAAGAATCCTTAATGATACACCTGTGAATTAACTTCTACATTACTGATGATTAATGAGCAAGCTTTTGTTAATCTTTCAAATACTTTAGGGATAAGGAACTGATTACCCATCATTTCTTCAGAAATCTCAATTCTCTAAACATTAAATATGAATAAATAAATTCATAAATTGCTTTTACTATATAGTGAAAGCATGATATGGCCAAGCAAGATGAAAACTTAATTGCAGGTAATAAACAGCAGAATGTTACAGAGACGTCTCATGTTAGATGTACCCACGGCTTTTTAGTTATCTGTGTGATGGATACTTTCTGCCATTTAAAAATGCCTGTGAGGAAATACCTTCCCTACCTTCTTGTTATGTTACTGTTTTAATGTTTGCATGTAAGTTGATGAACCATCTGTTCATAAGGATCTTAGAATAATCATTTCAATTATTAAGATTTTGAAATCCATTTTCTTTCTTACAAAGGAAAGCAGACCAAATAAAAATGGATAAAAAGATATTATTTTAAAAGATTTTTTAATGGTAGTATACAAAATTGCATAAAGTCAAGCTATAATTAATTCATCTTTCCAAATATTTATATACTTAATATCTTTGAAATTTTCTTTATGATACTTTTAACACCTCTTCAGTATTTATTTACTTTAAAAGTAAATATATAAATATATAGATGCAGCTCTTCTCTCATGTCTTTAAAAGTATGAGATTTTTTTCACAGTCAGTTGTTAAAAGCATGACTTAGGGATTAAGAGCCATATGTATCTTGTACCAGGTCTCATGTTCATGGCAGTTTTTAGTACAAAGAATAGTAAATGCTTTCTCTGATTCTCTGATCTGTTTTAATATTTAGACTCCTGCTTAAAATCTACTCAATATATCAAGGCTGCAAGAAATAAGGTTCAAGGATTTAAAGGACTATTTTACATACAATTTTTTATTTGCTTTTAATTTGATATTTATAATTTTATACCTTCAAATCAGGAATGAATTTAAAAGTATCTTTAAGTGACACTATAAAAGTATCATTAAAAAACTGACAAAATGAAAACTGTGAAGACTAGAACAATAATTATAAATGAAATTCCAAAATTTTTAATATTGTGTCTACTTTTAAATATTCTTTCTATCACTATCTCTCTCTGTGTCAATCTAATCTGCCTGTTTCTCTTACCTGTATTCCTAAATTCTAGCACTAATGATACTTTGGACTGAAAATGGGATAAACCATGATACCTATCTTTTTAGTGTTCATTAAACTTCAAATGTCAATAGCAACCCATATCTCACTTCTGAGAAAAATATGTAATATGCCTTGAGTCTTTGAAAAGGACACTTGGTGATTAAAATTAAAGTAAACTGAGAACCCGTAATCTGTCTCTGTCTCTGTCTCTATCTCTAATTCTAGTTAGACGTGTTTTCCTTAAAAATGATGGGTGCATTAGCAAATAACATACCTTGGAAGATTGAGTTATTTAATTTATATTTGCTTTGCACATTATAAGTTCTCACAGGTGATAATATAGAATCTACTGGGTATGCTTATGTGTCTCTCCAGAACTGAATTTGTGACACATCCAGATGGAGAAACACAACCTCACAATGATGACAGAATTCATCCTGATGGGCATCACTGACCGCCCTGAGTTGCAAGCCCCATTTTTTGGACTGTTTCTCATCATCTATCTTATATCATTGGTGGGCAACTTGGGCATGATCATCCTAACCATGGTGGACTCCAGGCTGGAAACACCCATGTACTTCTTTCTCAGACACCTGGCTATTACAGATCTTGGCTATTCTACAGCTGTGGGACCAAAAATGTTAGTAAATTTTGTTGTGGATCAAAATAAAATCTCTTATCACCTTTGTGCAACACAGCTAGCTTTCTTTCTTGTGTTCATCATTTGTGAACTTTTTATTCTGTCTGCAATGTCCTATGACCGCTATGTGGCCATCTGTAACCCTCTTCTCTACACTGTAATCATGTCACAAAAAGTGTGTTGGAGTCTAGTGATCATGCCTTACCTCTACAGTGTCATCATCTCTCTTCTAATTACCTTGAAAATCTTCACTTTGCCCTTCTGTGGCTACAGGGTCATCAGTCATTTCTGTGACAGCCTCCCTTTGATAGCGCTGCTCTGCTCAAACACGCATGAAATTGAAATTATAATTCTGATTTCAGCAGGATTTAATTTGGTTTCATCTTTAGTGATCCTCCTATTTTCTTACTTATTCATTCTTATCGCCATTTTCTGGATGAACTCAGCTGAAGGCAGACAGAAAGCCTTGTCCACCTGTGGGTCCCACCTGACAGTGGTCATTGTCTTCTATGGGACTTTGATATTCATGTACGTGCAGCCTAAATCAAGTCATTCCTTCGACACTGATAAAGTAGCTTCCATCTTCTACACCCTGATTATCCCCATGTTGAATCCCTTGATCTATAGCTTAAGGAACAAGGATGTAAAATATGCCCTAAAAAAGTTGTGGAAAATATTATGCAATATTTTACTTAGTATTTATAAATAATATGAACCTTATAAATTATATTACAAGCATATTTTCTCTGTGTGTATCTAGTATAAACAGCCAGAACAAATTCAACATGTATTCACCTATTGTTTTAAATTTTATAGGCACTGTTAATTGCTCTAAATAGATCAATTGAAAATATCAAAATGATGTTTTTTGAGATTTGTTAATGGCTAAATTTTATAATAAAGCAGAATATATTATTTGTATGAGGACCAAGTAAAATATATAATAAAGTAGCTATACTCAACAGAGGAAGGGCACTGTAGAAGTAAATTGCAAGGATTTTTATGCTTTTTTGAAACTCGTTAAATGAAATTTCCTGTGTTAAATTCACCCACACATACATACATATGTATATATATATGTATATATATTATTTTGTTTTACCCTTCAGTCTCTCTGAATTGTACCTAATCTGAACTGTACACTTAATAAATGAATATTTGAAATACACATATGAATTTGCTCAAACACAACATTAGAATCCCATTTTCTTCTCAGGTATTCATGTGAAAGACTGAATTTTCATTCTGAGTCAAACTAGGTTAATTCCTCCAAGTTTCATATTTTAAATATAAATATAATGTTTTTCAAAGAAAATTAACAGCATTGAGACACCTTCACAGCATAATGTCGTATTTTACAAAAAAGAGTTACTGTCTCTTGTTATATGAATATACTAAACTGTAACATGGCTC